TGATGAAATATTAACTGATTGCCTAAGGACATAGGCTATACATGTATACTGTATGTAGTCTACTTATTTTGCTCAATAATTTTGTAGGGTTTTAATTTCCACTTTTGAGATGAGTTAATGGGATTCAAAAATTTAAGTGACTACCCTCTTACTGATACAAGGCATACTCAAGATGGAAACTTGTACTTTCTTCCTTCTCCATGCCATTAGTTGACCTTATGGGATGTTTTCTACACAGATGCACTTGGAGCTGATAGGCTAGGTACCACAGATAGTTTTCTACAGGTGGTTAGTTTCAAGACGCATGCTCACCAGTGGAAATATATGTTAGCTAAAGAATGATTTTAATTTAGACCTGCCTCTTCAGGCTGCCTTTCAGAATAGTTTTCTGCTAGAATGAAAATCAAAATAACACAAACATGGTCTAATGCATGCATAAATTAAACCTTTCATTATTTTATGATCAAGATGCAACATACCTAGCTCATTGAATGTTTTGTAGAGACAAGATATAGCAGGGAAAAACTGTCCAAATTTATTTTTATGTTTTCTATACCACAATGATTTCTGCTAGTGAAACTATTAAAAATTTTTATATAATACTGTTTAGCTGGGAAAATATTCCAAATTCTTACAACTAGAACTAATGTTTAAAAGGTTTAATTTCATGTTTTATTAATCCGTAAGTAGAATTTTATTTTTTTCATGTCTAGTTCAAGTCCCATAAAGTTAGTATTCTCCCCAAAGTACATTACTAATTTTAAAGTTAGAACATGTCTGCTTTAGTCCTGATATTTGATAGAGAACATGAATTACCGAGTAGTTGATTATAGAATGAGAATGCATTTTTGCTGCTGCTGTTAATTTTACCATTTTTTGATTTGAGGGATAAGAACAAGTGATAAATAGTGCTAAATTGCATTATATCACAACATTTAAAGGCAGGTTGCAAAAACATATCCAGAAGAATATAATATATATATATTTGTGTAACACTATTGCAATTTATAGTATTGTTGCTTGTCATTTATTGAAATGTAAGGTCATTGGATGTTGGTAAGTGTTTTATTGAAACAATAATTTCCTAAAACATGAGATTTAATTATTTGATTCAAAAGCATTTTCTGGCTGTGTCATGTTATCAAATGGATGCTTTGGTCCTTCAAATCATTAGGTTAAAAAAACTCAAGATGCCCATCACTTTCTTCAAAATTAAAAAAAATAACTTTGTTCATGACATTTTACATTTAGCTAATCTTTCCAGTATCTTTAAGAATGTCAAGTGACTTCTTCACATTTATATAATGATTTTTTGGCAAGTCAGAATAAGATTCCTCTGGTTAATTCACTTTTGCTTTCAACTATTCTACTCTTCCACCTGTTAAGACATACTTATAAAAAATTAATAACTTTAATCACCTACTGAACGCAGATATTTTATATAAGATCTGAACCTTCATGGAAGGTATGGTTTCAATGCTGTATACTGATACTCATCTGAGGAAGCAAAGCAATGGCATTTCCCTTAAATTTACATCTGGGCACTGCACAGATGTTGGAGAACCACAAGTCTGTCTCATAGCTGTAAACGTAACAAGAACAATAATGCAACCAGTTTTTCAGATCTAAACTAAATTAAGCAAGTATGTCATAGGCTAGACATCGTTAATATATTTTATAGGAAAAAATTTCAGAATTTTGAAGTGTGCATGAATGCTGGGTGTGCATGTGTGTGCTTATTCACCCTAACATAAAAATTAGTTTCATGAAATTGAAACCACTAAATACTTTTGGTTGCAAACTTTCCTCAGTATGGATCACTATTAAGTAGATCATGTGTCGGCAGTGCAAGCAATGAAATCAAATAAATCCCATGTTAAAAGGAGACCTGAATCTGCTGTTCTAATAAGATTGTTTCCTGGGATGTAGTAAAAATGCAAGGAAAAGTCATGTGATGATGTTTAGGTGAACATCGGGTGCCTTGTGCATCCCAGTATTTGTAATTTGTCAGAATCATGTTAACAGATATACGTACTGCCTGGACCTATTTAATTGGGACATCATATAATGAATAGAACATATAAAATATTTTAAACATAAATATTCAGATACAAGGGAAACTGTGGTCACAACTAAAACTGGTAATGAAGATGATCATAGTTCTTATTTCCATTTTTAGTTCACATGATAATAACAGAAATGGGAAAATATTAATGAAAGGGAGCAGAATATAAACACTGATCTGAAAAATCTTACAGTATCGTGCTACATTTCAAATCTTGTCCCCACTTTTTAAGAATTAATGACATTCAGGTGAGTGTTAAACAAGCATCTTCATATTGTTCTTGTGACTTGAACCATCAAAGAATTGTTACCAGACCTGAATTTTATTTTTAAGTTTGTAAAACATCTGTTTGAAAGCAAAATTTTAAACGATAATAATAAAAAAGCATCTGTTCTTGTCTTCCAAGGCATTATGAATGACATGTCAGGAAGCTCTGTTACTCAGGATCATCAAATACCATGTATTGCAAGGGTGCTCAGTTTTTTCAATTAACCCCAAAAATTTAAAATATAATACATATCAACTATATGAAAAAGTTTTGTTAAACTCTGAGTTACTAGGACAAAAACAAGGCTATGAGAAAGTCATATAAAGATACTTTAAAATATTAATTTCATATTACATGATTAAAAATTCTAGCAAATACATTCCAGTTTTAAAAACAAATACAATTCATGTTAATAATATTTGCAGAGGCCAAGATGAGCGTTGAATAATATCTCTGTTTAAAAATAGATGTATAAGCTAGCGTGGAACACAGCTACGTTTTGATTAGACTTACAATACAATCTCTTCATGTCTACAACTGCTAAACTTATCAAGGAGCATAAAATATTAAAATTTCAGTTTCACATTGTATTAATTACAGTGCATATTTGGGGGAAGAAGTAAGTCTTCATTAGTTCTAATTTCTCATTCATAAAAAAACTACTTTTCATTCCTGTGACATTTTATATAATGATCCCATTACAGCAACACATGATACTAAAGCATTGTGGTCTTACAGTCTATACCATGGAGTGGATCCATTTGCTCATAAAACACAAAATACATGTGGCACAAGGAGAGGCTGCAGTATTTTTATCAGCTGCAGTTGCTAAGGTATATTTTCAATGAATTTTATTAGTCTTTCATGCTGAACCAAGGATATTAAGGATTTCTGCTCAGAACTGATTTATGTTACAGTTGACACATGGACAAAGTCTTATTTCAGAGCAACCTTGTACATGTGAACAAATAAATAATAATAATATAAATAAAAAACATGTATTTTAGTTCATCTGAGTATCAAATACTGACTTGAAGTTTAACTACAGCATAAAAAAGAAAGAAAACTAGAGCCAAATTGTTGGTTCCATAGACACCCTGATACCCAGCAAGGAAAGACACTTCTACTCACTGAGCTTTGAAGACGAAGAGGCAACTGAAATCCTCTATGATGTCAAGAAATACAACATATAAATTCGATAATAGTATTATCTGACTTTCAAAACAACTTCTTTCCAAACCTTAACTTATGTTGTCAATATCAAAATCACCTCTTTCCACACTAAAAAGAAAGTAAAATTCCCACTCGGAAACTGTACTAGAGTAGAGGTCTATGCCCTATTTTCTGAATTTTCCTGTTATGTCAATCAACAGAGTCACATGGAGTCAGGTAATTATGACAGTGTTACACTCACTTCTATAACTAGGACAGACATAAAAAGTCCTCACCAATATTCCTGATTAATCAAAACAAAATACCATGGAATTCTTTAAAAAATAAAAATTCTGAAAGTAATCCTAAATTCTGGAAGTTTCCATGAAATATTTTTGCTATTACAGTCATTCCAGAAATATGACCCTTAGACATTGTTGAGTTCCTTGTAGTCTTAGCTTCCTTCTCCTGCAACCAAGGACCTTGTTCTAAAGAAAATGTGTTTTCATGTCAATTTTGTTTAGGGCCTATGCATTTTTTATAATAGATTTCTGGATTATATAGATCAATAGCTCTTGATTCTCTTAATAGAATCTACGATATAGAACACCATCATATTCTTATATGTTAGAAGTTAACCTCTGTGAAAACACCTAAACATGAAAAGGTAAAGCCACTAAAAAGAGAATATCTTGTCAAAATAAAGCTACATGAAATGACTGTTTAACCAATAATAAAGTTTTCCTTATTAGGAAAAAATGTATAAGAAACAAATGCTCCAGGAGAAAATATTGTTTATTTTTTCAAAAACTCTGAGAAAACTTGTCAGAGATGTAACTCCAACTCCACATTCTACCTACTGAACAACCTGATTAAAATATTTTGCCCCAAGGAAATGTTCCATATAACTTGGTTGAGAGACTATATGTAAACACAATGGTTATATTTATGTAACACAACTTCTTTTAGCGTGAATAATTACATCACTTCCCCTGGACAAGCAGAGTAGGGAAGGACAACAAGCTCCAGAATGTGGTCTTATAACTGTAGCAATAGTCACAGTTCCTTGGCAAACTCTCAGATTTTTTGCAGTCAGGGTGTCCTTATGCATTCGTTGCTTGTCACTTGAATATTACTGCAGACCATTACCTAAGACTGCTTTGGTTCCTTTCATACATTTTCACCATGATTTAATTTTCAAATTTTAGCCTACTAGTGAATAAGACCCCATTAATATCCACAAAGTAATTTACACAAAATATTTTATGCCTGCATGAACCAAATTCTTAAATAATTTTTTGCACAGAATGAACTTGGAAACTTTTGGAAATCCATGCTAATAGTGTATGTATAGCCCCTTTACAAAGATTCCATGAATACTCTTTTGGAGCTAACATTACATGTATATGCAAATGCTCTAATTTCATATATAAATTGAATGTGCTTTGCACATCTGTCGTTAGTGCTGTGAACATCATTAAGATCAGGTCTCAAGGACAGGCATGCATTACCAACCTGCAATGGCCTCTGTTTGTCACTGCTCTTAGGAGATTTCAACCCACTTGTTTGCTGCTGTAACAGAAGTTGTCTTGCTGCCTGGAGAGCCTGAGAGAAAAAAGGAGAAAATAGCTAAATATTTTTTTAAAACTTGGAATGGCTTTTAAGTTGTTCCTTATTTAATATAAATAAGGACCATTAACCTTCTCTACAACATTATTCTTTTTTCTCCTGATATGAAAAGAAAAATCACAAAACATACATATATACATTTATTCAAAATTGTGCAGATGCATGTAATCCTGCAGGACATAAATCTAATTTGTTGAAAGTGCTTCAAGAAGAGAAAACCACAAACTGCATCAATAACCTCATTCCCACAGAACTTATCTCTGAGTGTTCCTAAAATGCCCACTCCCTTTCAAATTATCATTCTATTTGCATTTTCGTATTACAATTTTGAAGCAAAAGCAGTAGACTTCAAGTGTTACCGGAAGCTGTAATTAAATTTGACAAATCAACATCAGATTATCTTGAAAGTGAATTAATAAGGATTTTCACTAAGATTAAAAACAGGTTTTTTTTTTTGTACTTACAATTCAAGGGGAGAAAAAAACCCTCTCCTTTGACAAAATAAAGTGCAGTTTTAATGCCAAATAAAATTGAGTGGGTTACATTTGCATTCTTAGCAAAATCAGAGAACAAAGAAATTACCACTCAACCAATCAGGTTTGTTTCTGTGTGTGACAGAATACCAATCAAAACAGAAGATGTTTTCATTTATTTTTGTGTTTTCTTACCCACTCAGGAAAAAAATACAACATAAGAAAGTAATGCAAGCATGCTTTTTCCTAGAGAAGGGTCAGAGGGGACAGATTGGTGAATGGACTATACGACTTACACAAACTAGGACCAGAAACCTTTACATTATTTAAATATATTTTACACTACATTAAACTAATAGTTTAATAGTTTTTGAGAGGTACTATTTAAAATTTATTTTTTTCCTGGACATCTATGTTCCATGAACAGTAGTGATGAATTTTTTTGATATATAAAAGTTATTGTTATTCACAGTTTTGGAATATAAGATAATTTTTCCCCGTTGTGGAAAAGCACAGTTAGATCAATATTCGCTTGTAATAATTAAGATTCTAAGCTGATAATAACTACAATTTTGATTGGGATCAATGATACGGTTTTTTGAGTGAGTTTCTAGTATCCATGACAACAGTTGCTTTGACAAGATGTGCGTATGGCTTTACACGCCAGCTGGTGTGAACAATGTTTGAACTACTGCATTGAGATGCTGAGCAAACAGAAAAAGTTGCCACGTCTTAACCCTCGGGGAAAGCAGTCATCCCCTGATCAATTATGAAAAGACAGAGAAAGGGCTGCTACAGTCTGGCTCCAAGCAAGTTTTCTGAGAAAGCTGGCAGACACAGAAGCCAAGGTAAACAAACTGGGTGCACTAGCACCCTCCCCTAACAGCACTGATTTGTCTTCCCATAGCAGGATCTAGCACCTTTGTCAAGCGCTGTTTCTGCATTTGGAAGCACACTTGCACATAGTGATGACTTTTCCTTTTGAGTGTGTTGTGTGCTTATCGAAAAAAAAAAACAACTTTTCAAGTAATTACAACTTAAGCTAAGCATTGCTAAGGATGACATATGTCAGTGAGATCAGACAACTTACACAATCCAGTATGAGGATAAACTAAAAATTAATTCTGTAGTCGTATTATTATCATAGCATTCACTGGAAAACTCCACTTAAAATTGTATAATATGCATAAGACCTTTCAACTGTGATCTAAAAACTGACTATGAGCAGCAACTTTCAAACTGATATTACTATGGTGTGGCTTGAGTTAAAACTTAATAAAATAACAATGAAAACAATTACTTTCCACATGTTCTCCTCTTTGAGATCTCTCTCCCATATATCTTTTTATGTAAAAGGTTGTTGTCCTTATACTTTTCTAATGATCCACACTAAAAGCAATCCGAGAAATCATAAAATATGATCCCCTCATTTTGACAAATGGGCTAACAATAAGGGCTAGAGTTGTCATTTGCTTTGTTTAAGGGCATAAGGCTATCCATGAATGTTTTGTTCAAGGTCACCTGGCTTCAAGAATAGTGCGCATTTCAGTGTGCCATGCCACTTCTATTTTGTCAAATAAATCAATCTTTAATTAAAAATGTCCAAAATTCTAGGCAAAGAGAATACCCAATACCACAATGAAGTACATTCACTTGGAAAGCTGGAAATTCCATTTTTTTCAGAACTTAGAAGAAAGACATAATGCTTTTATACTTGAATTTCCAAGTTAGTATAATAGGTATCACAGAAAGAAGGCATACTTATTTATGGGAAACGTTCCATTTCTTACATACTCCACTGAAACTTGATAGATCTCTAAACCCTTACAATATCATGGTCACCAGGTCAGTCATTACTAACAATTTCAAAATTCTAGAGCTAGACAAATTCTTAGAGTATGTCAATTCTAGGTTTCTCATTGTGCAGAGAAGTAACTGAAGAATCAGTTAGTTCCCCAGTTGCTGGATTAACGTCTCAAGGCAGTATGAAAACCCAATCTGTGATTCATCTAGTTTCTAACTTAGGGCTCACTCACTGTGTTCATTTTATTTACATTTCTGAATTGCATTCCTCCATCTCAACACCAACATTAGCCATTATCTTGTGTGAATTCCAGTGCTATAGAAACATACTAGACAACTGGATATATTAGAGCTTCTGCTCATGAAATTATGGCTAGTCAGAGGCACACACCTTCACTCTTTTTAACAGACCAACTTGTTAAAGTTTGGTCCTTCTGTTCCTTATAATTCATATGCACTTAGAGTATCCTTAAAATACCTGAGGATTATCTTCCAATACAGGCACTTATGAAAAATAATAGCCATTTGTCTCCACATTCTTTTTGTGAGCAGTAACAATCGCTATGATAAACACAAGATGTGGGATAACAATAAGGAATCTCAAGCACACATGCAAGATTTAAACCCCACATGTAGAAATCCCTGGCAGATCACACTCAAGCTGCACACATCATATGACAGTTTTATTCCCAAAATTCTGGATACTCCTTTAGAGTTAAATTTTAACAATTGCTCAGGGACACTTGTCTCACCTTTGTAATTGATTGCGGTCACTATTAAAAATGAAAGGTTATAAAGTAAATCACTTTCCTTAATACACTGCACCGTGCTGAATTGCACAAATTATTAATGTGAAAATCACTTGCTTATTATAGATTGATGAATAGAAAGGATAAGTATCAGTTGTCCGCATGAAGTTTCAGATACATCTAGTGTGATATGCTCACCTCTCCTTCAGAATTTATTTATAGAAGAAACCCAAGGGTTATTTACAAAATATCTTTAGTAAACTCTGAGTCCTTCTTGAATGAGTGAGAGGGGAGATTGCAAAAGCAAGCAGAGTTTGAGTTTCAAAAGTATTTTGCTTTTCAATTAAGGATATGCTTTAAAACATTTGCCTAACTAGAAAGCATTAAGATAGAATATTCTCAAAATGGAATAAGATTTAATATTTTGAGAAAGGAATAAACGTATTTATTAATAGATTGAAGTTACACTTTTCGTAGCAGCAAAGGCGTAAGAAAAAGATTTTCTAGATCTGAGTGTATTTTGTTCTCTAAAATATTTATTAAAAAATCAACTCTCACTATTGCTGCACAATTTAAAAAAAACTAAACTTTTGTAAGCAAAGCAAAGTTCAGGCATGTCATTTGTCTCCCTTGGTATTAACCCATGTTGTAGTGAGACTCACAAAAACTAATTCTATGGAATAGGTCACTATGAGAGTTAATTTAAGATAAAAAACTTTGTGAATTGTTAGAAAATCCATCAGGTTTTTTCTTTTCTTCTTCTTCTTCTTCTTCTTCTTCTTCTTCTTCTTCTTCTTCTTCTTCTTCTTCTTCTTCTTCTCCTCCTCCTCCTCCCTTCCCTCCTCATCCTCCTCCTTGTTCTTCTTCTCCTCCTCCTCCTCCTTCTTCTTTTTGAACATTAAAATACTCAATAGAAATAAAATTACTTGATCACAGTTTAGTGATACCCAGAAAACCAAAATATTGAATATTCTAAGGTTTGTAAGTGAATCTTTTTTTCCCTAAGTAAATACATATGAATACTTGGGAGAAAACAGACATCATTCATATCGCTCCCCATAAAAATAGGAATGCTTAACCTATCAGTCTGTTGCATTTGAGACATTAAAATGAAAAATGACATCTACACCCATTAATATCTTCTATGTATAAACAGCACAGCGTGACACATTCTTGAGAGCTGAAGGCTACAAAATCTCTCTGAAACATAAATAACAAAGCACTCAGGAGCATATTTGATGTTGATATTCATCTCTGAGAAAAACACTGCTGCCTAGGCTTCTTATGAAAATAGAAACAGTCCAAATGGATCTCCTGTAATTGGTTTCAGAGAGCGAGGTCAGAAGAAACACGATACTAGAGACGACTGTGTGGAGCAGGCAAAGCAAGAATGTTTACACAGGCACTCCCCAGTGCACTGACAAGGGGTCTTGGCTTTGCAGATAAACAGCACCCCAAAAAACCTGCCAGCAGAGTGTCTGGGTTTTCACTCATCAAACTCACATCTTCCAACTTTTAACAGATTTTGCATTTAACATATCCTGGATATAGAACATCAAATAAATCTCCCCAAAATTTCATTTTCTGGCTATTTTCCCAACTGTAGTTGATTAAAAGTAAACAGATTATTAATCAAAGAGTATAAATCTCCATTTTGTCTTGTCTGTCTTCCTGTTATGTTCATACTAAAGAGAATTCACTGATAAATGTGATCTGAAGCCCCATAGCGCTATTTAATAGAAGAAGATTAATCATCTAATTGTCATAACCTATTTTCAAACAGCAATCTATCAGAGTGAAATTATGCATCTATAGCTATTGACCCCTCATTTGATCATTCATGATACATAATTAGACTAAGTTTGCTTGAATAAAAGATAATTATTAAAAATATTTTTGAAATAATTATTTTCTGCAGTACACTTGTATAAAGTTAGAAGATAAATGTGTG